GAATGTAACCATTTTGAAAAACATTTGTTAGTATTATATACACATGAGGTTTTTTGCAATTTGAGAATCTCTTCTCTAATAAAAGCTATAGTGCAGTTTTTGTTCTAGAAAAAAAGATCAATAATATAAAAGTAAATCAATCTAAAAATAATTACTAAAATAAGAAAGTTTTATTTAATGACATGTTGCATGGGTTGTTACATCATACCTATGGGATAAACTAGTTATTTAATAGATATCCATGAACATGATATATTCCAGAAAATAATAGTAAACCACATGGCCTTTGGCTATATGATTTTACTATTATTCTGTAAAATATATTGTATTCACAAATATCTATTAAATAACAAGTATATATTATCTTCTTAGTTATACACTAAAAATTTTCAACTTATTATTATAATCACTTATGGTAAATATTAAATATTAGTTATTGTATCTAAAATAAACTTAAACAAAATGTGTTATAGTAATTAAAAAATACTAGAAAGTAATATAATAAATTTTTACTACAGATTTACTATTTCTATAAATATTCATATTTAAAAATTCTAAGAATTAATTTTTCACTATTACTTTTATGTGTCTGATTTATTTAATATCTCTGTGATAACTAGTTAATCTAGATAATATTTTTCTGTTTTTTTTAAAAATTAAGTAGCTAGTTATGTTATTATAAAATTTGTCAATATTGCTTTAATTATTTAGGTTGTCCATAATAAAATAGATTTGCCTTGAATATGTTGCTGCAAAAGTTCTAGCTTTTTGCTAAAAGCTAAAGCTACAAAAATTACTAGTGTATTCTCAAATTGACTAACTAAAATTACTGTGAAGTTTCTTATATCATTTGGTGTTATCTTTTCAAATTTATATTAAACTAGAAATTTTATATTTTTAATTAAACCCAACAGGTTTATCTTATATTCATCTAAATATAAAAATATATTAGTATAATTATAATATAACAGCATAATTTTAACTAATAATATATTAAAAAATAGAAATTATTCAAACTTACTAATAAAAATGTATAGAATATCTCTTTTACAAAAGAATCTATTCTTATATTTTTCCTTAGAAACAAGCGACAATATATAGCCTGTAGACTACATTTTGATCTTTGTTGAACTATTTTTTAAATTATTTTTATTTTTGTTTATAGAGATAGTAGCATTTATATTTAAAGAAGATATGATTATATTAGTTTTGAAAAGTAGAAATTTTGTGTAAACATAGATATAACTTTATATTTATATATATATATATAGCTCTTATATCACTAATAGACATAATTATTATTTTTATAGAGTATTTAATATAAATTATACATATATCAATATCTATTTAGCATATTTATTACCAGTATAAAAATAAAATTAATAAAAATTCAATTAGTTGAGGCTAAAAAAATAAAGTATTTATTATACTTATTATTAAATAAATTATACTTAATACTATAAACAAGGTAATATTTACAAGAATGCTTGTTATATAAACTATAGATCTAATAGTAAATCTAAATCTTCCAAACAAACTTTTTCAAAAAAATTAAATAAAGCTATGCAAGACTTAAATTTCTTAAAGTATAGTAACTATATAGTTATGATTTAATTTAATTATAACTATATTGTTACTATGTAGTTACTATGCTTTAAGAAATTTAAGTTTCTATAAAAAATTAAACAATAATAAAATAGCACAATAAATTTTCAACATAGTCAATTATTAATTCTATATTTTCTATAGTATAGCTAGAGATATTATTTGCACTAAATGTTTTAACTCTGTTAATTTTGTTAATGTCTATTTTACTAAATAGATAAAAAAAATTACAAACTTTATACATTTTTATATGCAAATTTGTTTTTAAAAATACCCATAATTCTACTTTCAAATTCATATTATTTCTTGCTTTATTGTTATTCATATCTTTTTTTTTAAATTCATTTACTTTGCTCTTAAATTTTGATATATAATTATACCAACATTTAATTCTATATTGAATTACTTTCTTAGTTTCTTTAGAAGAATTAGTCACAGTTTTATATAATTTAGCCAGAACTTAACTAATAAAATCCTTAGATCTTTCACTTTCTATAACTTCTACTAACATATATGGATTATTAGAATCATCTGTTATTAATTCTTGAATTAATTTAGAGATTTTTTGTTGTCTTTTTTGTTTTTTTTTGTTTTACAAAAATTTTAAATTTAAAATTAAAAATTGATCATTTTTAACTTACTTTATTTAAAAATATAACTAGCCAAACATTAACACTTGTATAGTCTTGTAATTAGTGTTCTAGTTCCTGTATTTGAGATTTAGATAATTCAAATACAATGTTTTAAATTTATTTTTTTTAAAAAAGAAACAAAAATATTATTTAAACATTGCAAAAAACTATTTTTCAAAATTTAAATACAGATTTAAAATATGAGTATCAATAAAACCAAGCAAATTTATTAGATAAATTTGTTTAGTTTTTGGTAACACCTATATAATTATCTAAAAAAAATTATTTTTCTGCTTTTTAATTCATTTTTTAGCTTTTTTGGTTGATTTTCTTAGTTGAATTTTTTAGAGTTTATAGTTTTCTTTAAAGGTAGTGAATATAATATAGCTTCAGTGTTATCAATTTTAGAAACTTGATTTTAGAAGCCTTGTAAGAGGCTCATAAAAGCACTTGTAGATAAGACTTCCTTTTTAGTTCTATTCACAGAATTATCTTTAGCAATCTGGCAAGGACAGCAATCTCTAATAGCTATATATCCAAGGTAAAAAAAATAATAACACTCCAGAATAGCAACTACTTCTGAAAAATCAAATTCAATTTCTAAATTGCAAATAATGCATATGTCTGGGGTTTGATATTTGTAAAAATTTGGTAAGGATTATTAGAATAAAATAGTTTACTGGCAAATTTTTTATCATTACTATTTTACTAATAAAAAAAATTAAAAAATTTTTTAATATTTAAAATTTTTTCTTTTATATATAGTAGAATTAAATAAAGTAACTTAGAGGGCTAACAAGTATTAGGTTATTATACCCCTGGGATTTTTATTTGACCCCCCAGTGTCAGTCATTTGACATTAGTAAAAATTTACAAAAATTGCATTATGCAATTTTTGTAAATTTTTACTAATGTCAAATAACTAACACTGGGGGTCAAATAAAAATCCCAGGGGTATAATGATCTAATACTTGTTAGCTCCTTTATGTGAGCTATTAAATATAATATATAAAAATATAGTATAAAATTAAATAATTTCTATAAGTATAATCAAATAATATATAAATATATAATAATATAGTTAATAAAAAATAGTATATAAATCAACATTATATATAGAAACTAATACTGAGTATAATTTAATAATATATTTAAATAATATAAAAGATAATATAGTTTAGCTAGATGAGCTTAAAAAAAATAACAATATAGTATATAGCATAATAAAAATAAAATCAGGTATTAAAAATTATGCCTTAAATCTCTATAAACTAAATAAATTTATTATAGTAGTTTGCAAAAAGGTATCTCAATTAATCATAATTTTATCAATAATATCTATATTTCATTAGAAATATTTTAACGTTCTCTAAAAATATTTGAATTAGTCTATTTCTCATGATTTTTATGATATTATAATCCACATAGATTACTCTTTTTTGCAAACCATCATAATAACTATTACCTACTTATAAAATTTATACAAATAAAATAACCTAAATAAGAGTAAGTTGTAGTAGTAAAAAGCACAATTAATTCAATAGCTTATATATAGCAATATCATATCTATCTAATAGTCTAATAGCAATACTTTGCGGAAATCCTACATTTTTGTGAAAGCGACAAAATATTTTAGATTTAGTGTAAATTATTAATAATATAAGTCTATAAACAGGAAATTCTCATAGCAAAGCTTCTTACTAGCACTATTAACAAGATTGCAATAAGGTTTTTTGAAAATTAGAAATTTTTCATACGTACTCAGTCAAAAAGCCTCATCAAAACCTCGTCAAAACCTCATTAATAGTGCTAGTAAGAAGCTAAATTAGTGCTTTGCTTGAAAATATACTATTAGAGACCTATATTATTAATAATTTACGCTAAATCTAATTGCTTTCACAAAAATGTAAAATTTCTGCAAAGTAGTTAAGGTGACAAAGTGGTGGCCGAAAAAATTTGTAATCAGGTGATCACAAAAACTTTATAGAATCAAATGTCTGGTATATATATTATATATATTATATATATATCAGATATTCAGTTTTTAAAAAAGATATATAAATTTTCAGGCTACATCAAAGGGGTCAGAAGTATCAGTGATTCCTGATCACAAATTTTTTTGGCCACCACTTTGTCATCTAAAACTTTTATATCCAACAATTACTATGAAGTAAATGAGTAAGTAAATTATTAAAATTAAATATACTTTATTTATCACTAAATTAATTTTTTTTTTAAAAAAAAAATTGTAGTGATGATCGAAGACCTAATGACGAAATGAATACTCTTTTTTGCAAAGAAACAAGTAGAGCAAATCAAAAAAACTGCTGCAATTGTTGAAAACCCAATTGCAATACCAAAGCATGCTGTTGTTGAAAAAATAATTTACTATGCACAAGAAAATGTGGATGTGTGTTACGAGATCAATGTCAAAAATTGTTAATTTTTCTTCTCTTTTGCCTGAAATTCATGTAATCAAAGCAGCGTTTATGCGTAAAATTAATATACAAATTTAAATTTTTATATTTTGCGAAATTATACTGATTATACCGATTGTAAATAACATATGTTATTTTTAAATTTATAAATAATATGAAACGACATAAATAGAAAAACGACACGGAACATATACATTAATATCCAACGCTTATGCAATCAAAAACTATATGACCAAAATATAAAAGAGAAAGCTAATAATATATAAACCTATGCTTTAAAAAATTTGCAGTAAAAAAATTTAAATACAATCAATAAATTAATATATTAAGACCCAAATCTACGCTCTGTATCTGTTTTTGACAGAAGGTGTTTGCTAAACCTAATCCTTAAACTATTTATAATAGAACGCCTATTCGGTACATTATTAGTCGAGTTACTGTTTGTTGCACTATTACTATTTTCACTTATATCTTCTAGAGACTCATTATCTGTCTCTTCATCATAATCCCTCATTATTTTTTCAATCTTTTCGCAAAATTCAAGAAGATCTTCTAAACCATATTCCTCTGCCAATTCTTTAACTTTATCTAAATTATCATCAATTAAATCCTCATTAATATACATAACCAATTTATATTCAATCAGCTCTTTAATTGATTCAATATTAAATTTTTTAGAAGCTATCAAAAAATCTTGATAAATTTGAAAATTTCCATCATCATATTTCTTTCCATTATTTTCTATAGCTTGAGATAATGGCTCTCCATACAACCATCTTAACAATATACGAAATGAATCCGGTTCAATATCTTCATATTCTTGATTATAAACGTTTGATAAATCTTCAAAAAATATTTCTTTAAAATATGGGGCAGCACAAATTAATATTGATGAATTTGCAAAAATATTTTCACCATTAATATAAAATAAGACATTATTAAATGGTGTTTTATTTCCATCATTCAAAGATTCTATCATAGACTTTGATAATTTACTAGCATTTTCTTCTTTAGGTTCAGGCTTGTGCCAAACAGGGATATCGGGAGAATTCACACCAGCTAATTCTAAAAGATTTTGATATTCCGTGAGATATTTGGCAACTGCTCTTCTTTTAATGTTGAAATCCCTTTCAAGACTTAAATCAAGGTTTGTAGCCGTAACCCAACTTTGTGAATCAAAAGGATCAGTACCGTTTAAAAAGATTGGAAGCCTTTTAAGTCCTCTAGGAAAACTAGACTTTTGTTCTTCACTATAAGAATCTAGCTTTTTATATATTTGTCCTAACTCATCAAATAACAAACGACCGCCTAATTCACCTAATTCTTTCCAATCATT